AACTGGATTAATTATAATTAATGCTATGTTGCGTAAAATTGCAACGAAAATATATCAACAGAAGCATCCACAGGGGGCAACATATTTTCGTTTATCAAAAAATAACTTTTCACGGAACTGCTACGGTCTGACATATGCTTTTGGAGCGAATCGATAAAAAATATACTGTTCAAACTTTATCTTTTTAACGCTTAAATGAATTCTTTGCCTGCTGTCAGTAAAACATATTTTACAAATGTCTGTTTTGTGTACTGGCAGGTATTTTCTACGGTTAAATACTGGAGTTCGTAGGTCGACATAGTTTTATTTTATAAATTTGTTGCTTAAGTTTACGATTAGTCACTGAATTCTTTGCCTCAATGTCTTCACGAGCAATTATTCAGCATATTGTCATGTTAATATATGAACATGTATACATTGGGTATTGAAACTGAGGTAGCTAACTGACTTGCCTCTTTCGGCGTGAAGGTGTAATTATTTAGTAACTGTTTATCTCTCGGATTGTCTCAAAATAAAAAAAAGGCGTTTTGCATGTACTTCAGACATCTGTCTTTGTAGAGTACTCAAACGACTTAGAAATCTTAATGCAAAATTATTTTAGATTAAACTATAGTCGACCACGTTGTTTTTACCCTCCATTGGTAACCTTAGTTTAGTATATCTAAGGAGAGATTGTACAAGTACTTTTGAGGATTTTCAGATGAACTTGATTAAAAACGCAAAAAGTCTGTTCATTTGAACGCGAGCAATACCCAAAACTTAAAGAAAGATCCCACTTTTGACAGACACGAACGTTCCTTTAGGTAGCTGTTTGGATTTTGAAACACTCTTCAGCAGAAAAATATGCGTTATATAGAAAAAAATGTTCGCAAGGTAATCTACATGATTGTATAGATCGATGACTCTCACAGAACCCCCACAACTTTCTGTAGAGTGATTTTCAAATGAGCATCAAATCAGTTCCGGAAGCTAGAAGCATATCTAGATCTTGCGGTCATGATACCTATTCATGCGTGATTTGTTTGCAGAATCTATATTATAAGTAAACTG